TGTAAGTGCATTTCTTGTGGGAGGGGGCCTCACAACAAAGGGACCAAATATTTTTAAAAATTAGGAAACTATAAAAGAAAAGATTGATAAATTCAAATAAATAAGATGTAAAACTTCTGCTTGGAAAAAATACCTTCAGCCAAGTCAAAGGACAAATAACAAACGAAAATATATTTACAACTAGATAAAAGATTAATCTACGTTATGTGAAAAAGGTTTTAGAAATTGACCAAAAAGAACAAAAACCCAAAGAATATAGGCAAAGAACATAAAAAGACACATCACAGTAAAAGGAATGTAAATGTCATTTAAAACATGAAAATATGTTCAGCCTCACTCACACTAAGAAAAATGTATATTATTATTATACTGAGATATAATTTCTCATGTATCAGATTACAAAAACCCAAAAGTTTGTGGTTTTCATAGTCTGATAACACCCTTTGCAAGACTATGCAGAAACAAGAACTCATACATTCCTCATGGAAGTGCAAAATGGTGGTCAATTGGTAATATTTACCAAAATTAAAAATGCACTTGCATGTCTCAGCACTCCCGCTTCTGAGAATTTATTCCTCAGATAACTTGTACCTTATGAGGAAGTGTGTATGCATAGTCCAGCGCTGTTTGTAATAGCAAGAAACTGGAAACCTCTGTTGATGTGGCGGGTACAAATATACAAACAATGGAATGATATACACAACTGTTAAAAAGAATGAGAAAGCTTCCTATACACTGAAATGAAAACTCCAAACTGCAGAACCAAGCTGCTCTCTTTTGTGTAAAAAAGGGGCAATTTAAAATATGTATTTTTCTTTCCTTACATTGTCATAAACACTGAAATAAATAAAAATACTGCAACATGAAAAAATAGGTAAATGACTTGCATATGGAATTCACAAAAGAATAAAAATTAGAGTTGAAAAATCGTTACTACCTTTAGGGACATTTTGCTGTTACTATTTTAAACTCAGAAAACACATTTATACATTGACAAGGAGAAAGAAATCTAAGTCATATATATTCATATTTTAAGGAACATAAGGGAAAGCGGATGCATAGAGAAGGGCAAAGTATGCTTTGCTATTTTTAAGAGGAGACTTACTTTAATTGCTGAATATAGGGAATAGCCGTAATTCTTCTTGAACTCGGCTCGAATATCCAACAGGTCAATTTCTGATCTGGAAACCATTATTCGGTTCAGAGTAAACTCATCAGTTCCAGCACCCTGTCAAGAAATGTAGGTGCTCACAGTACAACATACAGATCTATATTTACAAGAATAGATAATGGTGTACAAAATATTCAACTATGATGATGCTTCTTTATTTGTTTTCCATCAAACTTCATTCATTTACTCAAGAAATATTTGTGCCAGCACCATGCTAAATTCTGAAAAACAGCGATGATACCCTTGTTAAGCTTCCAATTTTGTAAAGGATACAGGCAAGAAAGCAGGCCATGGCAAGTAGTCTGACATATTGAGAATACTGAGCACCATGGGAACATATATTAGGGGGCCTAAGGATGAAGAAAGGTCTACCTGGGAAGTAACATTTAAGCTGAAACCTAAATAATCAACCAGGAGAAGAAGGAGTGGGTTTATATAGAGTGGAGAGAATGTTCCAGTAGAAGAAATAGCATGTGTGAAGGTTTCGTGCAAGAAAGAATGCCACAGGCAAAGATACATAAATAATGAGGAGGGATGGCAAGAGATGTGTCTGGAAAGGCCAGACCTTGTTAACTGTGAAATGAAATTCTGACTTTATCCCAAGTGTGGAGAACTATTGCAATATTTTAAACATGAGAATATTGAGATCAGATTGGATTTGTGGTTTCAGGAGATTACTTTAACTGCAATATGAGGAACAGCTGCAGGGTGCAAAGAGGATGAAGATAAGGGAATAAGATTAGAGACTTTAGGACCCATCCAGAGGCGACTGCAATAATAAAGGAAAGAGATGATGATGGCCTGAACTAGAAAAATGGCAGTAGGGACAGAGAAAATAGGAAGATTTGAGAGATGCTTATGTAGGTGGATTGACAAAATGTAATGATGTATCGTTTGAGGATAATGAAGGAGAGGGAGAGTATAAAATTTCTAGTTGAGCATTTAGGTGGATGTTGCCTCTATTCATTTGTTTATTCATCCAACAAATGCTTATTGAGATCTACTATATGCCAGGCATTGTTCCATGTACTGTGCTCACGGTGGTGAACAACACAGACTGTACCTCTGTCCTCATGGAGCTTATGTTCTAGTAGATGGACACAGACAGGAAAGTAAATTAACCAATTGTTTAAGTACATAGTGATATGCACTATGAAGAAAAGAAAGTAGTGAAATGGAATGGAGAGTGACTGAAAGGGAGCTGACTGGTCTAGTGCAGTCCAGGGAGGCTGCTCTAGGCAGGAGACATTTGAACCAAGACCTGAAAGACACAAAGGAGCCAGCCAGTGACAGATCTGGAGGAGGAACATTCGAGGCAGAGAGGGCAACATATACAAAGATTTTGATGTAAGAATAGATTTGGCATGGTCAGGAAGTAGAAAGAGGGCTGAGGTGGCTGAGGCACAGTGAACAAGGCTGAGGAGGAATGGTACAATGTCAAGAGCTGGGTAAGGCCAGTTCCTGTTGGGGCTATCCACTGAGATGATGAAACACAGGAGGGGGAGCAGACTTGTGGCTGGGGGCTGAGGTGAGGGAAATGATGGGATCCCTTAGGATATAACTGAGAAGGTACATGCGGGACCACAGGAAATGCCCAGTAAAGACATGGAGGTAAGCATCTTCCATGGGCAAGGCCCTGTCGTCGGCTGAAAATATATACTCTTAGAGCTCACCATGCAGCAGCAAAGACAGATAAGAACACACAGGGTTACAATGTCATGTAAAGTTTGCTAACTCAGCTTGGTCTGTTTTAAGTAAGGCATCTTGAGAGGCCACTGGATCTAACCGGTCAAGCGTAAAGTTTGGGTTCTAAAACAAGTTCTATTGCCTAGCTTCCTGTGAAGTGGGCGAAATCATTTAGTCATCACTTCACTGTAGCTATCTCTGTATTGATTAGAATACTCACTATTTACCTATGAGACAAATTAGTACACAAATTAGCTACAAAAGAGAACTCATTAAAGTGCAAAAGAAATATGACATTCCATCAATATTAAGCAATATTTATACATACTCCTTGAGGGATTTTAAGAATGCACATGAAATTTTCAAACCAACCTTCAAAGCCTGATGTAGTCTTTTAGCTAAAAAGGCAGGCGTGTTCCTCGTGCAATAAACTGTTACAAAAAACAAAGTAATGTTCAGCTTCATTTAGTAGAAATCGGATTAATCTATAGTAGTATGTTTTTTTACAAAAGACTTTTTGGACTGTCACAGCACATTACCCCCTCCTCACTACAGGCCTTTATTTAGAATGAAAGGCTGCCTAACCTGAATTTCAAAGCCTTATAATTCATATTTGTACGGAACTTTAGCATGGTAATTATTTTAGCCATGGGGAAAACAAAAGTACCTGCCAAAGAAACTCCCACAGTGTCTGACTCATCTCTAGCTCCCAGACACACCGAACACCCATGCTTATACTGATAACTCCCTAGGGTGTACCATCACTCAGTTGTAACATCTTTGGCTACTGATGAATAACTTGGGCCTAATGATTGCAGAGATATTGCTCAAAGTAACTCATTAGGTAAGAAGGGGAGCAGGAGATCTATTTAAAACCAATTTTTCCAATGGAAAGATTTTCTTTTAAATGATTGGGTTAGAGTCTATAGACTGGTTAAAGTAATTACATTAGAATTAGTGCCTATAGTTTAAATTCAGTGATCTAAAAAATACCACAATCTTTCGATTCTTTATTTTGATATAATAGGAAAAGCAGAAATAAAATAGAAAAAAGTGAGTAAATTAATTATTCTTTAAGTAAAGTGAAAATTGTCAGGAATAGAAAAGTCTGCAGGGAACAAACCTATTTACTGCATCACAATTATTTTTATAATCTTATTTCTGATCTGCAGGTAGAAATTCGACTAAAAGTGAGTGGATTTTATAATGAATTTTGGATCTCAGAACAAGAATAAGTGACTTTCTCATAGTGGCTTACAGCCTCTCTTAAGGAAAGCTAAAAGACTTTTGGTTTGTATAAGCAATTTAAGGGAAATAGAAGGAGAAATGTATTAGAAAACCTAAACATGGAATCTGGGACAAACCATTAAAACTGTTAGATATGAAGCTGGCTGACAAAAAACCAACCATTCAAATTGGTACTGCCTAAATTTTCTCAAACTCACATTAGGCAAACCTTAATATTTTTATTAAAAATCATTATGCTCACTTTTACCTTAGTAAGATTGACAATCACACCCCCCCCACTTTCTTGTCATAATCCTTTCTCCCCCTTTAACTTTCTATCTGCTTTACGTTCTTAACTACCAGGTTTGTTCTTCGTGTCTGAAAATTTGGGAAGCTGGCAGTATGTTTTAGTGGTAAGGAAGCTCGCTTTAGCACACAGTACCACAGGTAGGGAAACTTGGAGAAATCCCTGCAACTCAGGAAATCCATCAGAGTTAATTACTGTAACCAAGAATTCACTATCACCCATTTCAGACCCCTTGTGTTGTCTTGACCAAACTTTAGTTGGGTCTCTCTCTTCCCCACAGTCCCTGAGCTCTGGCTTGCTCCCAAGCCTGAGCAAACACTAAAATGTAGGACATTTTATCATGCCCCCTTATCAACTATCCTGAGAAACCACAGTGAGACACATTTCATGTCAAACCCTGATGATCATGCCCCCTGCTTGTTCAACTTCTCCTTAGAAGTTTCTGCTAAGGTCTGCTTACCCCTCCCTGTAGAAGGAAATACTTTTCTCCTCAACTCTGAGACTCTTGAGCATTTCTGACATCAAAGTGTTCTCCCTATTGCAGTAGTCTTTTTGAATAAAGACTCTCTTTATCTAAGTCGGAATTTGTTTTTATATGACAACTAGTATGTTCCTAATATGCAATTCTAAGATGACACAGCTCAGATAGTTTTTCATGTTAAAAATTATGTGTTGACATATTGTATTAGATTTCTTGTATATGAAATATCCAGAATGGGCAAATCTATGGAGACAGAAAGTAAATTAATGGTTGCCAGGGGTTGGGGGTGAGGAACTATGGGGGAATGACTGCCTATGTGGGTACAGGCTTTCTTTGGGGGCTGATGAAAGTGATGTCATAAACATCACTTGCGGTGATGGCTGCAAAACTCTGAATATATTAAAAACACTGAACTGCACACTTCGAATGGGTGAATTTGATAGTATGTGAGTTATATCTCAATGAAGATGCTTTAAAAAAAGTGTTCTATTCCAATGGTAGAGACTGAAATAGAAAATAAGAGTGTGACATATTTTGACCTTTAAATTAGTTGAATTATAAAGTCCTTTTTTACTTGATAAAACAATGTACAAAATGAATCATGGTGCAGTACATGCATGTATTGAAAGACACTGTACCCCACAAATATGTACAAGTAAATGTTAAAATAAAAATTAGAAAAATTCTAAAAAGTGTATTATAGCCCAAAATTTAATGCACAATTCAATGTATATTTCCAAGAATGCTACTTTGGTCAATGACTGAAAGTTTGTACATCTCAATGAAGTTCTGCAAATATTATAGCAGCAAGAGCAGGGAAAGTAAAAAGCAGGAAATTAATGTAAAAATTGAAAAATATGCAATGGGAAAAAATTCACTGGCTTTATTGTTGCCACTGGAACATTCTCAGAACTAATTATAGAGATAGATCTCAGCTCCGTTTTTTTTTTAAATTGAAAAAGAAGCATTTCTCCTTTCTTGGCCTATCTTTTAGCAACTGAATCAGAATCAACAGTATTCTTTTTCTTTTTTTTTTTTTTTTGAGCCAGCAATTTGGATAAAGAGCCCTATTTTAGAATGGGGCCTGGAATTTAAAGGGTGCCTTGTTCCTGGTATTATTTTCCATAATTTACTTTAAAATACTTTAGCATAGACTATATTTCAGTGTATGTCTACAATGGAGTGCATCAGAGTAGTTAGTTAACATCACAGACTACAGAGGCCAACTGTCTGAGGCAGAATCCCAGCTCTACCACATACTCCCTAGAAAACCCAGGGAAGTAACTTAACTCTTTGGGCCTTAGGTTTACCATCTCCACCAATGGGGTAATAACAATGCCTAACTCATAAGATTGTTATAAGGTTTAAATGAGTTCATATTTGTAAAGAGGTTAGCACAGTGCTGAGCACATGGTAAGTGCCAGGTAACTGTTTATTTAAAAATGAAATTTGAGGTACCCTAATTCATTAACATTTGAATGATGAATCAGAAGCTCCACTTCAGAGGTTACTCTTAAGCATCAGTATCTTTATCTCACCAGAGGTGCTATTAATTATCATAATGGATGTTAGAAATGACTTTTCATTGGTGAAATGTCAAGATGTATGGAGTACAGGTATCCCTACCCTGGCATTAATGGAAAAGAAGCCTGTACTAATCCCAATGGCCACCCTAGATTGGAGTGGCTTAGAATTCTGAGCAATCCTGTGTGTGTACAGTCCCTTAACAGATTTTGTTGCCTGACTCTTGACTAGAAGGGTCGAGAATCCTGTCTCTGATAGTGTCTCATCCCTTTGAATTCACCTTTCTTGCAAGATGGTCTCCTAGTGCCTAGGACAGACTGCTGAGATCTCACTGAGAATACAGATCAGCTTGTATAACTGTATTTTTTGACTGCTAAATGCATGTGTCTGTATGGGAATGGATTCAGCCGGAAACTTACTTTCTTTTTGATATACCTACCCCCTGCTCACTTGACCAAGGTGGAGGAGACTTATAGCTCTAAACTCAGCTCAACTTTGGGAGGCCACTGATATCTTTTAGAAATAACCAAATATGGTGAATTACCAGATTGGCTTAGGTCTCAGTTTTCAACAGGCTCAATAAAAAAGCCAGTGGAAAAGTAATATTTCAGCTCTCAAGAAGTCTACGATCTAAACATGGTGACAAGCCAAATGCAAATTTAAAAGGCAAAGTAAGATCTAAAAAAAAATAACTTCTTCATGCATCTATTTAACAATATTTGTTGAGCATATTGTGTGTACTGTGAACTGTGCTGAGGCTGTGGGACCAAGAAGTCTACGATCTAAACATGGTGACAAGCCAAATGCAAATTTAAAAGGCAAAGTAAGACCTAAAAAAAAATAACTTCTTCATGCATCTATTTAACAATATTTGTTGAGCATATTGTGTGTACTGTGAACTGTGCTGAGGCTGTGGGAGCATAAAGATGGATCAGTCAGGATTCTTACATGAAAGGAGCTTATCTTGACATTGAGTTAAAACAAGTGCAAAGAACTCAGTTCATTAGTACTCAAGGGCTTACCTATGGCCAGCAGTAAATCTTCAAAATGTCCAGATAATTCTCCTTTTATGCTGTCCTCAATGTCCTTCTGGCTGAAATTCCTGTACTCATCAAATGCTAAAAAGTAGTACCACAAAAATATTTAAAGCATCCCAGATGACTACACCTGAATATATATTCCTGTCTTCTGAAATGCAGCAGATCAAGTAGCAAATTCAAAAACTCTTTCTTTAAACTATCAAGATTTGAGCATGGAAGTTTTTATGTTTTGCTTTGTTTTGTTTGTTTTAAGAAAATCATCTACAATAAAACCCGAACTCCCTAAGCCATTTTCTTCCATGATTTCTCTCTCTCTCCCCTCCTCTCAGGCTATAACCATTTAAAATAGCCTGAAATGTTAAATGATAAATAATTTATCTAGCAAGGTAGGCTATTTTTAAATTTATAGCAGCACCTGGGAAACAATTCCGTGGTCAGTAATCAAATATGTTTTATCTGCTAAAGAAATCTTAATTATGAAGATTTCTCTGTGCTGAATAAATCATGCCCTAAGGCAGCATGGCCTACTTTACATCTTCCAGAAGGCATTTGAATTTCTTGATCAGTATTTGCCTCAAGCAAAACCTGTACATATGTCACCAAGTATACAGGCATATTTTATAAGCCAAGTAAATTTTTTCCAAGTAAATTTTTAAGAAAGAAATTTTGGGGAGAGATCTAAGGTTGTTTGATTTTTATGTTTTAAAGACCTTACTAAAGCAACTATAATATACTATTATTGTTATGCAATAAATGTGATTTTAATGCCAAAATTAAGAAAGGACAATTTCAGAATTTGAACGTCACAGTCAAATCCTTATGTTTCCCCATTTTTTCATTAACTCAGCACAAGCTTAGTCACACAGTATGGTTGTTCTCTCAACTATCACCTGGAAGCCCCAATCAGAAGGTGTTCACGGAAAATGGAGTTCCCAGCTGGGTGCTCAGCCATGGAGGGTGGGTGCTCAGCAGGTCTATGTAACAGTTGGTCTGACAAAAACAGCAGGTCCTACCCACTCCCCCATTTATCTTCATATCAGAAAGAGCCGAATGTCAATCAGTATCTACACATCCACAGATTAACCTCAATGCCTGGCTTTTCTGGAAAGTGGCTAACCAGGCAGAGGTGGGGTGGAAGCAGTGCAGTCAGGCTCCTCCATGCCACAGGAAACCCCCTTTCTGCTCCCTCCCCAGACAGGCTGCCTCTTTTCCTCTCCCTGCCTTCTCCTTCCCCACCCATTCCCTGTTGCTCAGTAGGTGATCTACTCAGTCTTCAGGGAAAAATGAAAGAGCTGCATCACTACTGCCTTGAGTTAGAATGCAGCATCCTCTTTTGTTTCCTGAAATTTTTATACATATAAATTGATACAGACTTTGCAATTTTTAACTTCATTTTCCAGAACTTTGTATATTAAACCTCAAAACATTTGCAAAAACACCATAAAACAAAAAGGGTTGTAATGTGAGTCCGTACTTAGTTTCAGTTGAGGGAAGCTCCTTAAGCACAGGATCTCAGTGAATTTATCTTCGTCCGTGCCCCACCTGTTCTCACCAGCATTGTAGAGAATCTATGGACAAGGGGAGGAAGACTTAGATGTTATTACAGACACAATCTTTCTCTCTTTTTTGAGGCAGTGGAATGAGAAAAGTGGCAGCTTTGTTTTAGAGGTCAGTGAGGTAATCTATTACCTAAGTCTCTCACTTTCAGCAAACTGGGCATCTGAAATGCAGTGGGGCAAGAGCCAGCTTGATAACCACCACTGGGGAAGGAAGAAAGCTGGGGCTGGCCGGTTCCAAGTCTTCAGGATTCTCCTCCAGACAGGAAAGGAGAGAGCAGCCCTAGTAAGTGCCATCTTTCCCTCTTTTCATAGAAATGCAAAGGCAGTTAAGGGGGAGAATAGTTAAAGGAGATTTTTCTTTGCTCAGTTACTGACCTGGGCATCCTTTTTGGCCAGATGCTCATCCACTTTCAGACTTTCATCTCTTCTGCCCTAGATAAGGATGATGAAAACAAGGGCAATCCTTTAAAGACAGAAGATTCTAACACTCAGCAGGACATCTTAGTGGGTTTTCTGTGGTGGAGACCATATAGCACAGAGGAATGAGGTACTCTGGGCTCCAGCTCTGGCTCTGCCATTGACTCATCATGAAATTTGTAGCAAATCACACAATTTGGGGGCCTCAGTTCCCTCCTCTGAAAACTCAAAGGTTTTAAGAGGATGAAAAGACAAGCTAAAGACTGGGAGAAAATATTTGTAAAACATATCTGATAAAGGACTTGTATCCAAAATATATAAAGAACTCTTTTTTTTTTTTTTTTTCCTTTTTGTCTTTTTTCGTGTCCGGCAACGGACCGCAACCCTCAGTGTCACGCCCATACCGTACCGGGACCGGCAACAGGATCGCAACCCTCAGGGCTGCGCCCGCCCTTCACTTAGCCAGTGAGAGGGAACTGCTCTGTATGTGGGATCCGAACCCTCGGCGGGAGCGCTGCCGCACTCCCAAGCGGCGCACTGTAGCAGTGCGCCACCGGGCCGGCCCCATAAAGAACTCTTAAAACTCAATAAGAAGATAACAAATAACCCAATCAAAAAATGGGCAAAAGATGTGAACAGACAGCTCACCAAAGAAGATATACTGATGGCAAGAAAGCACATGAAAAGATGTTCAACATCATCTGTCAGTAGAGAATCACAAATTAAAGCAACAATGAGGTACTACTATGTACTTATTAGAATGTCCAAAATCCAAAACACTGACAATAGCAAGTGCTGGTGAGGATGCAAAATGATACAGCCACTTTGGAAGATAGTGTGGCAGTTTCTAAATATATCCTTACCATATCCAGCAATTGTGCTCCTTAGTTTTTACCCCCAAAAATTGAAAACTTATGTATGCACAAAAACTTGCACACGAATGTTTATTGAGGTTTTATTCATAACTGCCGAAATTTGGAAGCAATCAAAGTGCCCTTCAACAGGCACAACAAATATTCCACACAATGGAATATATTCAGTGCTAAAAAAAGAAGTGAGCTATCCATCCATGAAAAGACATGAAGGATACAGAGGCATGTACCTACGTGAAAGATGCCAGTCTCGAAAGGCTGCAAACTCTATATGATTTCAACTATGTGACATTCTAGAAAAGGTAAAACTATAGAGACAGTAAAAAGATCAGTGATTGCCAGGGTTTAGAGGGAGAGAAGGGACGACTAGGTGGAGCACAGAGGGTTTTTAGAGCAGTGAAATTATTCTGTATGATATCGTAGTGGTAGATATATGACATTATACATTTGTCAAAACCCATTGAACTGAATGACATAAGAGAGCGAACCCTAATGCAAACTATAGACTTGAATTAATAATAATGTATAAGTATGCATTCATCAACTATAATAAATATACCACACTAATACAAGATGTTAATAATAGGGGAAACTGAAGGGGGAAGACGGGCATATGAGAGCTCTCAGTACCTTCTGCTCAATTTTTCTATAAATCTAAGACTGCCCTAAAAAGTAAAGTCTATTAAAAAGAAACCAAAAAACCTCAAAAGTCCCCTACCGACTCTAATATTGAGGGCTCTGTGGTTAAATGTTTGTGTGTGGTAATGCACAAATACTTAAGCACATTATGGAAAGATGGGAGATAGAAAGGGAAAACAGGATTACCTGAATTATTTTGAAAATTACAGGTTAATGAACACTTGGCTATAATATTTTAAAAATGGATTTGTTCCTATTTTCAACCATTAGGTCCTTGGATGCCTGCCTGATTTCTCTTCTATGCTGCTGATACTCTACTGCTGTTAGTTTGCCTTCTTGTTCACTGTGCACTCTGCTCCAGTAATAAAAATGCTGATTATTGTTGGTCTTAATAAAAAGCAGTCAGCACCATGTATTGATCACTTTCTATGTGCAAAGTACGTCACATTCTCTCAATCTTCACAACACCCTAAGAGATTGGTACTATTACTATTTTAATTTTACAGATGTGAACAGTAATACATTAAGGCTTAACTTGTCCAAATACAAGCAGATAGTAGGCAGCATGAGATTCCAGCTCTCTTTGATTCTAAAACCCTGCCCTGTGGGTGTGTATGCTCACGTCCACACACAAATGATGTGCACTTAGAATATATTCCTCTGAGAGCATATATTTGCAGTAGTGCGTCATGATTTGGGTTTGTGGGGTCGTCCTCCGTAAGGTTTTCGCTATTTAAAACAACTGAAACCATAATTACAATACATTGTTTTTTTGTGGCGTAATGCCTCACTTTGACAAGTACAAGGGAGGCGTTATCTTTTAATAAATGAGTGAGGTTGAAATGCTATTTTAACGTCAGGCTGAGACCATTAATGGGATTTTCTCACACATTAGAAGCTGTGTAAATCACCTGAAAGAAGTTGGTGAGAGATGGCTTAAATCACTTCCTCTCTTATACACATCTGTGAATACATCTCACCCTTGAACTTACCACCTTTACTATCAAAATCATGAGCCTTCTAAAAAGAGAAAGCAAGGTATGGCCACATTTGTTCACATGGTGAGTCATGGTTTAGCAGCTCTTCCAAAATGGCAAGAATGAAGTTGCAGCAAGTCTTTTTTAAAAAAAATTTCTGAGTCTGATACCCGTTTCTGAATTTAATACCCATCTCTGAAAATAATTCTTCTGTATCATGCTTCCTACTTAATGTAAAACCTAACAAAAGAAATATATATTCTTTAGAATCCAGAAGGAAATACACATATTCTTAAAAATAGAGACACACAATGGAAGTGAATAATTATTTTACATCAGATGATTTATCATAACATTTTCTAATGTATTATGAAAACTGATCACAGCACTTTTAATCATATACTGACCCAAAGAAGATTTTTTTTTGTTGTTACATCATTTTGTATGCTTTTATGATCTTGGTTAAACATTATACTGCTCGGTGGCAATGCAAATATGAAATGAACAAATCATTTCGTAAGGAACACTGCAATCGCATTGTCTTAGTTTGGTTATTTTTAAACTTCCTAAAAATTATTACTGAGTATGCAGCTTATTAGAGAGTAAAAAATAAAAAATAAAACCTTACATCTGCCAAAGTCAACAGAGCTTTCCGGAAGTCACCAGACGTTTCAGAACTAATGTCATCTCCAAGACTCTTCTTATATACTGAAACCAAATAAAAATGATATTAAGACTTGACAAACTGGAAGATGGCGATGGGTCTGGAGCGAG